AACATGTTGAAATCCAAGGGCCTTGCTGAGCCAGCCCTATCCCTCACGGGTCCTGGGAGAGCTGGCCCTGCCCTTCACTGGACACTCATGCCCCCATGGGAGAGCTGACCCCAGTACTCAGGAGACATGGCCTCACTCCCCATCATGGGTGTGGGAGAGCTGGCCCTACCCCTCACCTCAGCGTGTGGTTCTAACGGCCCAGACTGAGCAGCTCAACTACCACGCAGACCCACCCTAATAGCTGCCCCATCTTTGACCCACCCACCCTAATAGCTGCCCCATCTTTGACCCACCCACCCTAATAGCTGCCCCATCTTTGACTTGATGGAGTGCACATGTGGCCTAGTTCTACTAAACAATAACCACAGAATCCCATGACTCAGGGCAGCAGCAGGATATCCGAGAGGAGTTTCGATGAGGGCCCAGCTCAGTGATGATGGTGTACTAGAAACCAGAGACTTTGAAACAGACCAATGACTCATTGCAGTGAACATTTTGAGGTGTGGCCTATTGAAGAAAAGGGGTATACTGTGTGACATGCCACAGCTCCCCATGCCAACTAGGATAAATGAAGAGGGGTTGGAAAAATAGAGGAGCAAGGTGGGTTTTTAATTCTTTTGGTTGTTGTGTTTTGCTTTTAATTAATTTGAAGGAGCATACTGCAGGTGTGAGGGGCAGATATGGAGGGACTAGGTGGTGCGCGGGATTGGTTGCATGCTGTGAAATTTCTAAAGAATCAATAAAGAATTATGTTTTTAAAAAGAATACACTCACAGAAATCAAAATAAGATAAAACAGATGATTTTGCAGACTGAGACTGAGAAATGTAGCCACTATGAATGTGTGTATGTATAATGCAAGCATATGTATAATAAAATGTGAATTTCCTCGCTTACAACAAATAACAGCAACAAAAATCATCGTGTGAGCTAGGCACAGAGGTGCATACCTGCAATCATGAACTTGGAAGGAGGATCCAAGTTCAAGTTCATCCTTGGCTACATGGTGAGGCTATGGTCAACCTGGGTAACATGAGGCCCTGTTTCAAAAAAAACAAAGCAAAGCAAACCAAAAAGGATCAATACAAAGAGGGGACAGATTTTCCCAGAATCACCAAGGTAGAAAGTGTGTGTACTGGTGCCATGTGGAGAAAGCAATGGTCAAAAAGGAGAAAAGCCTCTCCATTCTTGCCATGGGCTCTGGCATGTAATAATAACTCCATGAAAAGGAACTTTTTATTATTTTTCATATATTTATCTTATTTTTATGTATTTGAGTATTTTGACTACACTACATGTATGTGCACCACACGTGTGCCTGGTGCCCTCAGAGGTCAGATCCCCTAGATCTGGAGATACAGATGGCTTTGAAGTACTATGTGGGGTATGGAAACTAAATCTAGGGCCTCTGCAAGAGCAACAAGCGCTCTTTACCACAGAACCATTTATCCAGCCCCAAAATGAGGGCCTGGCTCTTACTAGGCAGGTGCTCTATGACTGAGATAAATCCTCAACCCCACAAAATGCACTTTTAAAAATGTAGTGTCTCAGGTAGACCCATATAGCTTCAAACTCACTGTGTGGCTAAGGATGTCCTCTTGACCTTCTGATTCTCTTGTTTTCTTCTCCCAAGTACAATGATATAGGCATGGACCACCACTCCTGGCTTATGTGGTGCTAGAGGTCAAACCCAACACTTTTATGTATGATAAGCAAGTGTTCTACCAACTGAGCTACCGTTCCAGCCCTGAAAATTTATTGATGAATCAAAGTTATGGGAGCAGAACTGTCAAAACAGCCAGCCAGAGAAACCCAGGGAAGAAGACAAACCAAGACTGAGCACTGTGATGTGGCTGTGTTTTGCAACTGCTTCATGATGCCACAACTTGTTTGGACCCGCCTTACTCCTGGCTTAATAGAGCCTCCTGTTTTAAAATCTCAAAGGTCTAGTCATCCTCTACTTTCTCCTTTCAAACTCTTAGCACTCACTGATCAAACAGTGAAAATCACTTTTATTTCTCCATGAAGGCAAGTGCTGTGCATTTAACCCATTATATGCAGCCCTGCTGGCTCAGTAGATGCTTCTAGAATAGAGAGGGAAAAAAAGAGAAATTAAAAAGGAGAAGCTGTTATGGATAGCTATGGCTATTTCCATTTTTTACAGGAAGAAACTTGTAAAGAAAAGTTGGGTTACCCTGGCTCCTGAGTTTGTGCTTTTAACCATCATATAATAAGGCAATAATGCCAAGGAGTACAAGAAACTGCAGAAGACGTCTAACTGACAAAGAGAATTTCACCCACGACAGTCAAGAGAGCAGTCTTGACAGTATGAAGGTAGAAAATCAAGTCTGGTTGTAGGTTAAACAAGGACATAACATGACAGACGATGTGGGATGTCCTTCTGTATGTTGCTTTTATTGGATAATGAATAAAGCTGTTCCAGCCAGTGGCTCAGCAGAGTGAAGTCAGGCAAAAAATCCAAACAGAGATATAAAGAGGGAGAAGGCAGAGTCAAGGAGATGCCATGTAGCTGCTGAAAAAGAAAGACGCCACCGGAACCTTTCAGGTAAGCCACAATACACAGATTAATAGACGGGTTAATTTAAGATATAAGAGCTATGTAGGAATACACCTAAGCTATTGACTGAAACAGCGTTCCTCATTATCCAATCAAAGCAACACATATACAATAGGACATCCCACATCAGGTGGCAGATGTGGTAGCTCTTTCTAGTCACCACCAAACTATGTGGTACCTTCTAAGGTGCTACCCAGATCACTACTGTTGCAACGCACACACTGCCAAATGAATGGACTTGTGAGCTGGTCGTCAACTTTCTCTGCCATGGAGAGCTAATGTCTTCCTAACCATTCCTCTCAGTACTCCAGAATCTCAGTTCTTGTGGCTACCCATGTTCCATGCTCCTCTAAGTTTTGGCCTTATCTTTATTTCTTATGCTGGAGACTTCCACTTGACCCTAACTTTGTAAATGACAAGGACTCACATTCTGTGATCCCATGAGTGTCTCGGGCCATGAGCATTTAGGGCACAGTCTGTCACAGTGCTATTGATGTTACTGTCTTTTTCTAGTGAATATGGACTCTTTGAATTCTATCTCCAAGTGCCTATAGATCACTCATTGGTCCCAGGTAGAGATTAATGGTATCCACTGTGCCAGGTACCCAGCCACCTGTGACTCTTCCCTTTCACAGCTCACATGCTTCTTTTCTTGTTATTAGAATCTCATTTTCAGAACGAGACAAGCCGGCTTGATGAGAACCAGTAATTTGCCTATGCTTAGCTGCAAAGCTGGGACTTCAACTGAATGCTCTCTTGGGCTTCTCACTGCCTGCTCTAGATTCTCTTTTGTGGGTCCACCTGACATTCTAGAGCATATCGTAAAACATTTTGGAGGGCTGGGGAGATGATGGCTCAAAAAAGTAAGTGTAAGCACAAAGACCTGAGATTGACCCCTGGGGCCCATTTAAATAACTGGCCATGGTAGTATGCACCTGTAATATCCTGGGTCCCTGGGACTTGCTGGCCAACCACCCTAACTTAATCAGCGAGCTCCAGGCCAATGAGAGACCCTGTCTCCAATTACAAATCGGTTGGTTCTGAGAAACAAAATCTGAGGCTGACCTCTAGCATCCACTTACATACACACAAATATGCACAGTTACAGGTGTGTGTGTGTGTGTGTGTGTGTTAGTGTGCATGCACATGTTTGCACAAATACACACACCTACTTTATTTTATTTTGAGATAAGGGTTCTTTGCAGGTCAGGCTGGCTTCAAACTCACTTTATAGTCCTGACTAGCCTTAAATGTTCAATCCTTATTCCTCGGCTTCCTGAGTGCTGGGATCATAGGCATATGTGTACCACTATGTCCAGCAAGACTGTAAAACTTCTGAGACCAAGGAATATTGCATGTATCCAAGTCAGTCTTACACAATCGTCAGTTAGTAAAATGAAATGGAGATACAGAGGATGGCATTGGTAGAATTTATATTATATATCTAATATAATTATAATATAATCACATACATATAATTATATCATTATGCATCTATATTATAACATCATTCCCATGTGGTGCCAAGCATTTAAACACAAGAATGGATGTTTGTTCTTCAGATTTTTTCCTATGTGTATATTGTCATATAACTGCATACAAAATTCTTTTGGGAAAATGGATCACAGGGGTCAGGGATGTGGCTTGGTAGGTAAAGGCACTTGCCACCAAGCCTAACAGCTTGAGTTAGATCCCCAGAATACACACTACAGAAGCAGAGAACTGGCTGCCTCTACATACACAGCAAAAATAAAGAAGCGTTTTAAAATGTGCTATTTTCTAACATTTTTGAATGTTTAATACTTCTGTTTTAGATAAAGATTTGTTTTCTATATTTTTAAATTTAATTAATTTATTTAGGAGTTTTGGGTGGGTTGTTTTGTTTTGAAACAAGATGTCTGTCTAGAGCCTAGGCTGGCTTCAGACTCATAATCCTTATGTTTTAACCTCTTGAGTGCTGGGATAATAATCTGATTTTAAAAAATAGTTAATTAAGAATGATACATTGATATGGGTGTAGCATTTTATTTCACGCATCGCTTCTTGACCAGCATCAGTGTGTCATCTCCATTTTGAAATGGCACACCACATTAGAAGGAAGCTAATTGGGAAACAAGGATGTTCCTCCGAAGAGGGGAAGGCGACACCGAGGAAAAGACTGATTCCCCAACAGATGAAGCAAAGGCAGAGCCAGTTTCCAAGTGAGGAGATTAGAATGACCCGTGTGGTATGAATGCCGGAAAGGCTGACTCTTCTCAAGGGTTGGGAAGGAAGCCAGACAAGAGGGTGGGAAGGAAGTGTGGGGGGGGGGGTTGGAGAGGGTGGAAACATCTGGTTTCTGTCAGACGCTGGGGAAGATGGTGACAGAAGACATTTTGCTGTAGGGTGGGGGTGGGGGTGGGGTATTTGAGGAAGTGCTTGTATACTCTGGGAAAGACTGCCTGCCTGGAAAGGCCAGTATCAGAAGCTGAAGAGGCATGGGAAGATCCTGGGGCTGGTGAATGATTTCAAACACACTAAGAGTCTGGAAAGTGCAAGAGCAGGTTAGAGACCCCGGACATGATATGGACATGGTATGAAAACGGCGATTTGGGATGGGGACGTTTCTCTCTGTTTTCATTCTCTTCAAGCTTTTCCTTTGTTTAAGGCCTCACACTTTCTAGGACCCCCGTTTCCCTTCTTTCGGCATGTTTTTCTTTCCTCTTCCAGTCTAGTTCTCCTTTTCAAGTTAATAATTCTTTTCAAGTTTATAATTCCGGAAGTGCTGCAATGTACCCTGGTCAGAAATGACTGGAAAACTCTGCCGAGAAAGAACTAATAATCATTCTGCCACCAGATGGCGCTCCCCACCCAATATTTGGGACATCTTAACCAGCTGCGGCTCTGTCTTCTCTGGCCGCTTGGATCAAGATCATCTGGGTAGGGCTTTTTTTAAAAAAAAAAAATATTATTTAAAATATAGACAATAAAAGTCACATTCAGAGATATTAGTCCATGGACACGACAGCATGATCTAGCAATGTGCCTAGGGAGGATTTCTCCACCAGGGAACTCTAAGAACCACCAGACAAAGTAAACTGTGTACTAAAAGCATCCTCTGGCCAGTGGCTCTCAACCGTCCTAGTGCTGTGACCCTTTAGTACAGTTCCTCACGCTGGTGGGTCGCTGCCCACAGGTTGAGAATGATTGGACTAGCCCCAGTTCATTAGAGGTGCAAATACCCGGGTTTCATCTCCAGATTCCTTCCACTGCAAACAGAAATCTGAATTTTAATAGGTGATGCTTTTATTCTAGCGTGGAGGGTCAAAACCAGGGCCTCGAGCTTTTCCATTGAGTGCCATCCTTAGGCCTCCCAGGTGATTCTGATGACTGTTTGCGTTGGAAACCTTCTGCAAAAAGACTGATGGATCGGGAAGTGGTGCGTCTTTCTCCTCTTTGCCTGCTGATAGGAGTCCACCTCACACTTTGAAATCCAAAGCAGAAAGTCATTTGAGCCAACTAAATGGGAGCTCGTATAGTGCACGGGATGCAGACGTGCTTTGTTGGTTTCTTTTCTTTTTTCTTTTTTCTTTTTCCTATCTGGGTAATTTCAAGGTGCAGACAAATTTAAGAATTACTGTAAGCCGGGTGGTGGTGCACGCCTTTAATCCCAGCACTCGGGAGACAGAGGCAGGTGATCTCTGTGAGTTCGAGGCCAGCCTGGTCTATAGAGTGAGTTCCAGGACAGCCAGGGCTATACAGAGAAAGGCTCTCTCGAAAATAAAAAAAGAAAAAAGAGTTACTGCAAAAAAGAAAAAAAATGGAGAAATTTTGGCTGAGGTTTACTGGGATTCTCACAATAAAGAAATACCCCTTGCTTGAATGTTGCAGCTTTATCTACATCCTAAAACTCCCTGTGGCTGTAACCTTTGTTATTGGTGGGACAAAGTTCTCTGCCACTTGTGTGCTTACCTGGGTTTAAAAAAGATTGAAAAGCACAAATGGAGATCAACAGAGGTCAGCTGCATTCCCACCGTTGTATGGAACAGTAGATGAAATAATGAATTCAGACTGGATGTACCAGAAACTGGAGCGGTGGTGCACATACATACATACATACATACAAGCAAAACACCCATACACTTAAAATAAAATACACATTTACAATGCACAATAAGCTATAATGACCACCCTCCTCTTTTTCCCCCCTTCCCTCTATGAAACAGGATCTTGCTTGGTATGGAACTTGTGATCCTCTAGCCCTTGTTTGCCAAATGCTAGAATTACAAGGCTTTGTGGCACTATGTCAGGCTCAGTATTCTATTTTCATGAATGCCAAAGAGTTGTTAGTGGCTAGGTAAGGGAGCAACCCTTATAGGGGCAAATGCATGTACTTTCAGGGTGTGTGTGTCCATTTGCTTTCTCCTAAAATCTTTTTTTTTTTTTTGGTGGGGGGAAGAATGGTGAACATGCCCAGTGGTATTTATGTCTATTGTCTTTATACTGCAGCTAATCATGCCTCAAAGTGTTCTTGTCTTCTATCTTTTAACCTTTTGAATGTGTACTCTATGGTTTTATTTCTCCATATCTTTTTATTTTATTGAGCTCTACATTTTCTCTGTTCCCTTCCCATCCTCTCCCCCCCACTTCTGCCCTCCCTCAAGGTCCCCATGCTCCCAATTTATTCAAGAGATCTTGTCTTTTTCTACTTTCCATGTAGATTAGATCCATGTATGTCTCTCTTAGGGTTCTCATTGTTGTCTATGTTCTCTGGGATTGTGAATTGTAGGCTGGTTTTCTTTGCTTTATGTCTAAAAGCCACTTATGAGTGAGTACATATGATATTTGTCTTTCTGGGTCTGGGTTACCTCACTCAATATGATGTTTTCTAGATCCATCCGTTTGCCTGCAAATTTTAAGATGTCATTATTTTTTTCTGCTGTGTGGTACTCTATTGTGTAAATGTACCACATTTTCCTTATCCATTCTTTGGTAGAGGAGCATTTAGGTTGTTTCCAGGTTCTGGCTATGACAAACAAAGCTGCTATGAACATAGTTGTGCACATGTCCTTGTGGGATGATTGAGCATCGTTTGGATATATACCCAAAAGTGGTATTGCTATGTCTTGAGGAAGATTGTTTCCTAATTTTTTGAGAAATCGCCACACTGACATCCAAAGGGGCTGTACCAGCTTGCATTTCCACCAGCAATGAAGAAGTGTTCCCTTTACCCCACAACCTCTCTAGCATAATTTGTTATCAGTGTTTTTGATTTTGGCCATTCTTACAGGTGTAAGATGGAATCTCAGAGTTGTTTTGATTTGCATTTCTCTGATGGCTAAGGATGTTGAACATTTCCTTAAGTGTCTTTCAGTCATTTAAGATTCCTCTGTTGAGAGTTCTCTTTTTAGGTCTGTACCCCATTTTTTATTGGATTATTTGTTCTTTTGATGACCAATTTCTTGAGTTCTGTGTATATTTTGGAGATCAGCCCTCTGTCCCATGTGGGGTTGGTGAAGATCTTTTCCCATTTTGTCGGCTGTCATTTTGTCTTGTTGACCATGTCCTTTGCTTTACAGAAACTTTTTTGTTTCAGGAGGTCCCATTTATTAATTGTTTTTTTTCTCAGTGTGTGTGCTGCTGGGATTATATTTAGGAAGTGGTCTCCTGTGCCAATGCTTTCAAGTGTACTTCCCACTTCTCTTCTATGTATTTCTTTATATCTTAAGCCAAGCACACCCACTAATACACCTACCCTCATTCCTTCTTCAACTATGACCTTAAACTGAGCATGCTTTGCAATGCACATCTTAAACTGAGCATGTCCAGGAAGGTGCTGGCCTCCGTGTGCTTTCTTATATGAATATTATATGCTCCCTGAATAAAATCCTGGTGCTTCCATTATCAGGGAATGATGCCCTTTCTCCACTCTTTTATCTTCTTCTTGTGCTTATTGACTTTGCACTCACCAGGAGGAGACGCCACTGTGATGGTCATAATTTCAAATGTGTTTGCATTTTTTGTAGGCATTTATTGTCAAAATAAAAGTATCAACTAATGAGTATCTTTGAGACTTTAATAAAATTATAAAAAATACATCTAGCCAGCATCTCAAAAATAGAAATGCAATCCGAATTCTGATGTCTGAGCTCGTAAATCACACATTTTCCTTTTTACAGAGCCAACGTGTTCAGCCGTATGTGAGCCTTTTAAATCTGCAGAGAGCGGCACATTTAAGGCACTCGCGTGTAGCAAACCCATTGGGTAAGGGCAGCTTCTTTCCTCCCCTAAACTAAACAGATTTTCAAAATTGCCCATTAGTTGACTTTTCCAACATCTAATGTGTTTCGGAATCACCTGGGAACTTCAGGCTCGTGTGAAACTTGAGGCAGATTGTGACTTTAGGTTTGGGAATCTGTTTCTAAATTCTGATGCTGTTCTCCAAGGACCATATTAAAGCCCAAGGAACCCACTAACACCCAGTCTCAGTTTCCACGCCTCCTACTCATTCTCCAGCTGGACTTTAATTTCCCCTTTCTATGAAGAGACCTTTTTTTGGGTCACCAGTAGCTTCCATTTCTCTAGATAAAATGAACATGCTACCGCTCACATCTTCATTGTCAGTGTCTGCCTGTGTGTATCCCTTACTCTCTTAGCTTCTGTTTTCCTGGGATTCCTCCAGCCTCCAATCCCTTCTCTTTAGCCTCCTTACTAGGCTCATCCACAAAGCATGGGAGATGAGAACAATTCAGAGCTCAGTTTTTCTCACTCCCTCCTCTTCTTCCCTACCCTGTGCCTATCCAGTTGTTGGCAGTAGAAGTTTTGGTGTGTTCCCGAGGTGACGTTTGATATTGTCTGAGTTGTCAAAATTTGGGGAGGGAGGGATACTGCTAGATACCATGGAATGCACAAAAATGTCTTATCCCACCGCAACAACTTGGTTGTAAATGTATTATTGAATCGGAAATGTGATTCAGAGGGAGTTTTCTCTTTATTTCAACCCCAATGCCCATGAGGAAGGATGGGTACTTCTCCCTGATTGTCCCCTCCTCCGTATTATGCTTCTCATAAGAGGTGGAGCGTCTTGTTCGGTGGGTGACAATAGGGAAATGGTCCTCTCAACGTTTTCTCAACAATCCCCTGGCTGCAACTCTCCTGGGGCAGCCTTCCCAGAAGGAGAGTGCCTTGTCTCTGCTTCTGCTGCCCTAAATAAGCCTGAGAATCTGGAGCCTTTGCTCTGTATGGAAGGCTTGCATTTCTCCTTTTCCACGCATGACTGAGTTGTGGGTCATCTCAATTGAGTGGACAGATTGGAGATTCGCAAGATGACATTTCCAAGTGGTCTTTCAAATTTAAAGAATACTAACTTTTTTTTCTGGTCAAGGCAAAACCTCATTCTTTTTTTAAAATTGATTTTATTGAGCTCTACATTTTTCTCTGCTCCCCTCCTTGCCTCTCCCCTCCCCTTCCACCCTCCCTCAAGGTCCCCATGCTTCCAATTTACTCAGGAGATCTTGTCTTTTTCTACTTCCCATGTAGATTAGATCCATATATGTCTCTCTTAGGATCCTCATTGTTGTCTAGGTTCTCTGGG